ATGTGCCTACATCAAAAAAGAAGAAAGACTTCAAATAAACAACCAAACAATGCATCTTAAAGAACTAGAAAAGCAACAGCAAGCCAGACCCAGTTTTAGTAGGAGAAAAGAAATAATAAAGATCACAGCAGAAATAAATAAAATTGAAATGAATAAAATAATACAAAAGAGCGATGAAACAAAAAGTTGGGGTTTTCTGGTTGTTGTCTTTTTTTGAGACGGAATCTCACTTTTGTCACCCAGGCTGGAGTGCAATGGCGCACGGCCTGTTTTTATTTTTTTATTTTTATTTTAATTTTTTAAGTTAAAATTGGCAAAACTTTAGCCAGACTAAGAAAAAAAGGGAGAAGACTCAGATAAAATCAGAGATGAAAAAGGAGACATTATGGCTGGGCGCGGTGGCTCACGCCTGTAATCCCAGCACTCTGGGAGCCTGAGGAGGCCAGATTACCTGAGGTCAGGAATTTGAGACCAGCCTGGCCAACATGGTGAAACCCCATCTCTACTAAAAATACAAAAATTAGCCAGGTGTGGTGGTGGGCACCTATAATCCCAGCTACTCGGAAGGCTGAGGCAGGAGAATCCCGTGAACCCAGGAGGCAGAGGTTGCCACTGCACTCCAGCCTGGGCAACAAGAACAAAACTCCATCTCAAAAAGAAAGAAAAAGGAGACATGACATTACAATACTTCAGAAATTCAAAGGACCTTTAGTGGCTACTATGAGCAATTATATGCCAAGAAATTGGAAAATCTAGAAGAAATGGATAAATTCCTAGACACATACACCCTACCAAGATTCAACCATAAAGAAATCCAAAAACTGAACAGGCCAATAACAAGGAACAACATGGAAGCCGGAATAAAAAGTCTTTCCGGCCGGGCGTGGTGGCTCAGGTCTGTAATCCCAGCACTCCGGGCGGCCAAGGCGGCGCACACCTGTAATCTTGTTTACAATAGTAATCTTGTTTACAATAGTCGAAAGGCGGAAACAACCCAAATGTCCATTGAGAGATAAACAGATAAACAAAATGTGTATATGTAAGGAATGGAACGCTATTCAGCCTTAAAAATGAACAAAATTCTGACACGTGCGACAACATGGATGCTTTATTTATTTTTTTTTTTTTGAGACAGAGTTTTGCTCTTGTTGCCCAGGTTGGAATGCAGTGGCGCAACCTCAGCTCACTGCAACCTCCACCTCCCAGGTTCTCGTGATCCGCCCGCCTCAGCCTCCCAAAGTGCTGGGATTACAGGCGCGAACCACTACGGCTGGCCAACATTTCTCAACGGAAGACATACAAATGGCTCTTTCCCATCTTGCAAGATGGCGGGTGAAAAAGTTGAGAAGCCAGATACTAAAGAGAAGAAACCTGAAGCCAAGAAGGCTGATGCTGGTGGCAAGGTGAAAAAGGGTAACTTCAAGGCTAAGAAGCCCAAGAAGGGGAAGCCCCATTGCAGCCGCAACCCTGTCTGTCAGAGGAATTGGCAGGTATTCCTGATCTGCCATGTATTCCTGAAAGGCCGTGTACAAGAGGAAGTACTCAGCCGCTAAATCCAAGCTTGAAATGAAAAAGGAGAAGGTTCTTGCAACTCTTACAAAACCAGTTGGTGGTGACAAGAACGGCAGTACCCGGGTGGTTAAACTTCGCAAAATGCCTAGATATTATCCTACTGAAGATGTGCCTCGAAAGCTGTTGAGCCACAGCAAAAAAACCCTTCAGTCAGCACGTGAGAAAACTGCGAGCCAGCATTCCCCCCGGGACCGTTCTGATCATCCTCACTGGATGCCACAGGGGCAAGAGGGTGGTTTTCCTGAAGCAGCTGGCTAGTGGCTTGTTACTTGTGACTGGACCTCTGGTCCTCAATCGAGTTCCTCTACAAAGAACACACCAGAAATTTGTCATTGCCACCTCAACCAAAATCGATATCAGCAATGTCAAAATCCCAAAACATCTTACTGATGCTTACTTCAAGAAGCAGCAGCTGCGGAAGCCCAGACACCAGGAAGGTGAGATCTTCGACACAGAAAAAGAGAAATACGAGATTACAGAGCAGCACAAGATTGATCAGAAAGCTGTGGACTCACAAATTCTACCAAAAATCAAAGCTGTTCCTCAGCTCCAGGGCTACCTGGATCTGTGTTTGCCCTGACGAATGGAATTTATCCTCACAAATTGGTGTTCTAAATGTCTTAAGAACCTCATTAAATAGCTAACTACAAAAAAAAAAAAAAAAAGACATACAAATGGCTAACAGGTATATGAGAAAATGCTCAACATCACTAATCATCAGAGAAATGCAAATCGAAACCACAATGAGCTTACCCCAATCAGAATGGCTATGATTGGCCGGGCGCGGTGGCTCAAGCCTGTAATCCCAGCACTTTGGGAGGCCGAGGCGGGCGGATCACAAGGTCAGGAGATCGAGACCACAGTGAAACCCCGTCTCTACTAAAAATACAAAAAATTAGCCGGGCGCGGTGGCGGGCGCCTGTAGTCCCAGCTACTCAGGAGGCTGAGGCAGGAGAATGGCGGGAACCTGGGAGGCGGAGCTTGCAGTGAGCCGAGATCGTGCCACTGCACTCCAGCCTGGGCAACAGCGTGAGACTCCGTCTCAAAAAAAAAAAAAAAAAAAAAAAAAAAAAAAAGAATGGCTATGATTAAGAAGACAAAGCTGGGCATGGTGGCTCACACCTGTAATCCCAGAACTTTGGGAGGCCGAGGTGGGCAGATCATGAGGTCAGGAGTTCAAGACCAGCCTGGCCAATATGGTGAAACCCCGTCTCTACTAAAAATACAAAAATTAGCCAGGTGTGGTGGTACATGCCTGTAGTCCCAGCTACTGGGGAGGCTGAGGCAGAAGAATCGCTTGAACCTGGGAGGTGGAGGTTGCAGTGAGCTGAGATCGCACCCCTGCACTCCAGCCTGAGTGACAGAGACTCTGTCTCAAAAAAAAAAAAAAAGACAAATAATTACAGATATTGATGAGGATGAGGAGAAAAGGGAACTCTTATACTCTTATATTGGTGGGAATGTAAACTAGTACAACCACTATGGAAAACCGTATGGGGATTCTCTCTTTTCTTTGGAGACAGGGTCTCACTCTGTGGCCCAGGCTGGAGTGCAGTGGGGTGATCTCAGTCACTGCAGCCTCCGCCTCCTGGGCTCAAGTGATCCTCTTGCCTCAGCCTCCCAAGTAGCTGGCACTACAGGTACACGCCACCATGCCTGGCTAATTTTTGTGTTTTTGTAGAGATGGGAGTCTCACCATGTTGCCCAGGCTGGTCTTGAACTCCTGGGTTCAAGCGACCCACCTGCCTCGGCCTCCCAAAGTGCTAGGATTACAGGTACGAGTCACCACACCCGGCCTGTGATTTCTCAAAAAACTAAAAATAGAATTACCATTCAATCCAGCAATCCTACTTCCGGGTATCTCCAAAAAGGAAATCAAAATATCAAAGAGACACCTGCACCTGCATGTGTATTGCTGCACAATTCACAATAGCAAATATGCAGAATCAACCTAAGTGACCATCAATTGATGAATGGGTAAAGAAAATGTGGGATAAAGAAAAGAAGTGAGTTAAAGGGTACAAACATATAGTTAGAAGGAATAAATTCAATGCTTGATAGCAGAGTGGGGTGAGTAGAGTTAACAAAAGTGTATTGTACTTGGGTAATGGACACCTTGAATATCCTAACCTGATCACTACATATTATACACATGTCACACCAGCCTGGGCAATAGAGTGAGACCCTGTCTCTACACATTTTTTTCTTTTTTTTAAGGACGGAGTCTTGCTCTGTCACCCAGGCTGTAGTGCATTGGCGTGATCTCAGCTCACTGCTATCTCTGCCTCCTGGGTTCCAGCAATTCTCCTGCCTCAGCCTCCCGAGTAGCTGGGACCACAGGCGCATGCCGCCATGCCCGGCTAATTTTTTTTATTTTAGTAGAGATGGAGTTTCACCGTGTTGCCCAGGCTGGTCTCAAACTCCTGCGCTCAGGCAATCCACCCGCCTCGGCTTCCCAAAGTGCTAGGATTACAGGCGTAAGCCACCGTGTCCAGTCCCCCCAGATATTTTTTAATTAGCTGAGCACAATGGCACACACCTGCAGTTCCAACTACTCATGAGGCTGAGGTGGGAGGATCCCTTAAACACAGGAGTTCAAGGCTGCAGTGAGCTATGACTGCACCACTGCACTCCAGCCTGAGTGACAGAGCAAGACACACACATGCGTGCTCTCTCGAGCTCTCTGTATATACACATACATACATATATATGTAACAAAATTTCAATGAACCTCATAACTTTGCACCAAACAAAATCACAGCCCAGTCTGAGCCTTCTGTTCGCATGGGCAGGACAAAGGGGCTCAGCATACTTTAGCCCAGTCCTGAGGTGGGAAGAAGCAGCTGAGTGGTATGGACCAAGTGAGAATGAGATGCTGGTTATAGCCAAGAGTCCCCCACTCAGCACTCCTGAAATAGAAGATGCCAATCCTGCCACTGGGAACAGTGTAATTAAAGAAATATTATTCATTTTTCTGAAGCAAATTTGGTAATGTCAGAGCTGAGTGGTGGATATACAGGTGCTTGCCATATTTTTTTCCACTGTGAGACTGGAAAACTTCATTTAAAAAACATATTAGAAGAAGGCTGGGTGCGCTGGCTCACACCTGTACTCCCAGCACTTTGGGAGGCCAAGGTGGGCGGATCACTTGAGTTCGGGAGTTCGAGACCAGTCTGGCCAACATGGTGAAACCCCACCTCTACTAAAAATATAAAAATTAGCTAGGCATGGTGGTAGGCGCCTATAGTCCCAGCTACTTGGGAGGCTGAGGCAGGAGAATCATTTGAATCTGGAAGGCGGAGGTTGCAGTGAGCCAAGATCGCACCCCTGCACTCCAGCCTGGGCGATACAGTGAGGCTCCATCTCAAACAAAACAAAATAAAACAAAAACAAAAATATATTAATAGAAGAAATGAAGCAGAGATATGTAAATTAATTCAGTCAAGTTTATTAAACTTACTGTGTGCTCAGCACTGTCCTAGGCAGTAACATGAAAAACATTACAAAAGAAGATCTCAACAAGGGAAAAATATATTCTGTACTATATTAATTTCTAATCATTTACAGGTCGCCTTTTAAAGCGTTCTTAGGTCGTTTTGGGGTATGTGGTCTCCTCCTTTCTCCATGTCCCCCTAAAGCTTCCACACTGTTGAACTATGTGCCTGTGGCGACCATCCTCCAGGAAGGGCACCTTCCTGCTGATGGGGCAACCAGGGGTTGGTCAGGGCTGGGGTCCCATGGTGCAGGAGACGTGCTGAGAGGAAAACCATCAATCCCGAGAGCTCAGGACACTCACAGTGAATCACAGAAGGCCAAATGTGGGGAAGCCACAAAGAGGGCTCTGGGCCCCTCACTCACCTCCTCCCCTAGGGGATGTGCTTAAAGTGCTAACACTGTAATAAAATGATGCATAGCTACAAGCCATCCTGGGTGCTACTAGACTCATCGCCTGCCTCTTCCTCCCTGACTTGTGCTAATACTGAGCGGTGGCACAGGCCAATAGAAAAGTCTAGTGCCCAGCGAAGTAGTAGAGAAGGTCCAACATGTAACCTAGAATTCTCTGGAGGAGGGGGGAAGGAAGGGGCAGAGGAGAGCAGAGAGGCGTGCAGCAAAAAAGACTTGTGCTTGGCCAGTGCCCCTGGGCCAGGGGTTGGTTCCTGTACAAAGGGCAATATGGTTCTATATAGCTAGCAGGGTCCTCAATTTTACCTGAGGGAACAAGGATACATAGCATAGGAAGGAGGAAAATCCATGCAGGGCCCTCCCTGTCCCCCACACAGGCACGCCCCCATGCCTACTGTACAAGGTGCTGTGGAGTACTGGGGTGGGCATACAGCGGGCCATGATACACTTGGATGCTGGATGACATCTGAACACCCCTGGCCAAAGAGCTCCCTCTGGAAGGGCCCAGTCATCACATGCAGGGCCCGCCCTGAGTCAGCATGAGGGGCTTAGGTCCAATTGGTAGCCTTGCCAAAGATACCTGTGTCCCTGTGGGTTACAGCCCAGTGAAATGCATCACATGCATGACATAGAGGGCACCCCAGCCAGGAGGGCAAGCAAAAGTGGCAGTGGCATGACCTCTTCACGTTGGTGACACAGCTAGGCAGAGGATGCCTTGAAGGAATGGGAGGGTGCCCAGAGGCCAAGAGAATACTCCTGTCTCGCCCTCGGCTCAAAGCCAGATCTCATCACTGCTCACGCTGGACACTCGATAGATATAGCCCAGCATTGGGAGGCGGATGAAACCTGCAGGATCAAAGAAGCCCGCAGGGACTCAGTAACGCTTGTTCCTTGGAATTTGGGAGAGCCCTCTCTGCCTCCTGGGCACTTGGAGGCCTTTGGCATAAGCACAGGGCTGGGGGGCAGAGGAGGAGGGTGGCAGGCCCCTTCCCCAGTACCTCGGCTGGTGAGGAGGCCGCCGGGCTCCGGGTCCAGAAGCTCTGGCCGGCTGTTGTTCTGAGCCATCTGCCGGTCTGCTGGTTTCACTGCTGGTTGACAAAGAGGGCAGTGTTCAGGAACAGGAGTGTGCCTGATGGGGCCTCGCCCCTCCCAAGCACCAAGCTCTCTTTTTCTCAGAAGCACTTCTGGAGATTAAGCAGAGGCAAAGAGCAGGGCCCTAGATATACCTCTGGAATCTGGAGTGAGGTCATTGAGCTGAAGGTTGGACGGGAGGGACATGCTCTCCCGTGGCAGGCGCACGTTGTTGAGTTTTAGGTTGTTGGAGTCACTACAGGGAGGATAAAGGTCGGGATGGATATGCGTCCCAGCACAGGCACTCATGGCTGCCTCTACCAGAAACCCCAGGCTCCCTCCTGTCCCCATCCTGCATTTCGGTTAGGCTTGTCCACCCAGCCCCAGGAGGAATTACCTTGATATAAGAGATGGGCGCCGGGAGGGGCCTGCGGAGAATGAAACCATGTCCCTAATTCTCAACATGCCCTCCCACGCTGGGCTCTCCTCCTACCCTTTCAGAGCCAGGACCCTCAGGCAAGGGGTCTCTCAAATGCCTAGGCTTGGCCCTGGGGCCAGAGACTGGGTTCCCAGTGCCTGACCCTGCTACCTGGGATGCATGTCACCCTACCCATGGCCACACCCTGGAAGTGCTCTGCCACCGTCAGAGACGACTGGTTCTGCCCAGCTGCACTTGCTGTCCTGGCTGCTGCTCAGCCTGACCTCATCCCCACTGCCCCCAGTGTCCCTGGCCTACCTTTGGTTTTCTTCTCTTTCCTACAGACCAGGCAGGCCACCAAGGTGCTGAACCCCACGAGGGTGCCCAGGGCAAGCCCAGCAGCCACAACAATGCCCAGCAGTGGTACTTCCACCTGGGTAGCCAGAAGCCCTGGAGGATGTCCTCTGGTTAGGTCCCAAGTGGGCAGTGCCCCAACCCCAACACGCCATAGGTACTGCTCTGCCCTCCTTGCCCAGGGTGGCTGGGAACAGTTCATCCACAAGACCAACTCACAGGGAAAAAGTACTCCCATTTCTGTATGGGGATGTGGACCCCTGCACCCACCTGAGGCTTTGCTGGGCCAGTTGCTGGCCATGCTCACCTGGGGCTGGAAGTGAGGCACTGGTGACACCCACATCATTGGTGGCCACCACCGAGAGGTTGTGCGCCAGGCTGCGGAGCTGCAGCTGTACTGTATGGTTGGTGAGCCAGGGGTAGTTCTGTGCATCCAGCACCAGGAAGTCAGAGGTGTTGACAGTCACTGGCCCATCCTGGTCGATCCAGGTGACATTGGCAGGCGGGTTGGCACGCACAAGGGCAAACAGGACAACCAGGAGGCCTGGGCCCTGAGCTTCCTGGTACTTGGCGCCGACTTGGGCAATCTCTGGCTTGACTGGTGCAAAGCAGAGGCCAATATGCTCTCACCACAGCCCCTTATACTTCTGGCCCTTTCTTCCCAAACCCAGATGGGAGCCAGGGGCCTGGGCCTCTCCTCAGAGGGCGTGCTGAGGAACAGGATGGCTGGATCTGCCAGACAGGCAGCATTTTGTAGTGATTATGAGTGTAAATACTAGAGCCAAATGCCCAGATGTGAATCCTGGCTCTGCTTCTTACCAGCGGGATCATCACCCTGGGCGGATTGCTTAACCTCTTTCTGCCTCAGTTTTCTTTTTTTTTTCTTTTTTTTTTTTTTTTTTGAGGCGGAGTCTCGCTCTGTCGCCCAGGCTGGAGTGCAGTGGCGCGATCTCGGCTCACTGCAAGCTCCGCCTCCCGGGTTCCCGCCATTCTCCTGCCTCAGCCTCCCGAGTAGCTGGGACTACAGGCGCCGCCACCACGCCCGGCTAATTTTTTTGTATTTTTAGTGGAGACGGGGTTTCATTGTGTTAGCCAGGATGGTCTCCATCTCCTGACCTCATGATCCGCCCGTCTCGGCCTCCCAAAGTGCTGGGATTACAGGCTTGAGCCACCGTGCCTGGCCGCCTCAGTTTTTTTATTTGTAAAATGGTGACAAAAATAGTAATGACCTCATGGGATTATTCAGAGGATAAAATGAGTTCATATTTGCAAAGTGCTTAAGTGTCTGCTAAATGCCCTGCGGACCACCTGCCTGGTGGGTGCTGGGGGGTCCCTGGGCAGAGAACCTCTCTCCCTGCCCACCTCAGGGTCACTCACATTGCACATTGAGGATGACAGAGGCGTTGGCTGATCGGCCACTGCTGGGGTCCTGCAGGGAGCAGTTGAGCTCATGCTGGGCCCGGTGGGCAGTGACAGTGAAGGTGCTGGTGCCTCCAGAGAAGGCCTCCCCTCCCACGCTCAGCAGTCTTGAGGTGCTGGCCTCCTGCAGCTGTCCATCCAGATACCAGGCCAATCTGGGGGTGCCAGGCCCCCCTGCCACCCGGCAGGTGAAGGCGTGGCGTTCATTCTCCCGAAGTGCCCGCTCAGCCCAGGTCTGACCATCTATTTGTGGCGCCAACTCCCCCCAACCTGGAACACAGCAGGGGGCCTCTGGGAAGGGGTCAGGCAGGGTTGGTACTGTGCTGTGACCAGGAATTGCCCCAGTGAGAGGAGCAGCAGGCCAAGGGAAAGGGCGCCTGAGTCCTCTCACCAGGGACTGGCTGGTTGGACCTAGGTAGGTGGGTGAAGGGAACAGGGGCTCCAGGGTTTCGGGCCTGGAGTAGGTACCCAAACAGAAGAGCAGACAGAGGAGAGAGGGGGTTTTGGACCCCAGAAGGACTTGGTCAACGACTGAACAGGGGTGTACCTGAGCTCAGAAGGGCTGGCAGGAGCAGCAGTGTGTGCCGCAGGGTGGCTGGGCCTGGAGGCAGCGCCATGGTGGCCCGGGCCTGGGCCCCAGGCTGCTGAGAGAAGGGGGCGGGCCTCCGTGTCAGCCAGGTGACAGCAGGTAGGTCTAGCAATTGCTCCAGGAATTTACTCTCCAGAAACAAAAAGAACCATGTACGGAGACACAAATATAGACCAGCCCCCAGTGGCGAAGGCACGGACACGAAGGGCAAAGCCCAAAGGTACAGACCCACCCAGCAGACACCTGGACATCCTGCAGGTGCAGAACCGAGCACTGACTCCAGGCTACAATACAAAGAGACACACGCCCGCAGATACACAGAAGCAACCAGCATCCGTGCAACCACACCTTGCACACACGCACACTCACACACACTCATACTCCGTCTCCACGCGCCCCTCCCCCAAAGGAATCGCCTTTCTCCCGATCCCATCCTCTCTCCTGCCCTGTTCCCTCTCCCATCCCTCGCCCTACGCCCCCTTTCCTGGTGTTGGTGGCTCCGGCGGATGTGGGCGGAAGAGGAGGGGGTTGGAGGGTGGGGTCGCCGAGCATCCTGCCCCCGCCCCCCGCCACCGCGGCTGCTCACCTGGCTCCTTCCCCGACCGCTGCCGGAGCAACTGCTCAGGTCTGATGAGCACCGCAGTCCGCTGCAAGGGCGGGGGCTGAGCCAGGCAGGGCCAATCGATGCCCGACCACTGGCCCCACAGGCCCTTTCCCGGCAGGTGGGCGGTCGCGGCTCACCACCCGCCTGGCTGGTCCCTAGCCCGCGCCGAGAGGCCCCACGCACAGAGTGCCCCCGCGTGCCCTTCCCTCCGGGCGCGGGCAGGACGCAGGAGCAGGCGGAGTCGGTTAGGCCCGACGGCTTTATTGGTTCAGGGCCCCCCTCCCGTCCCCTCGCCCACGGACGCGCGGGCCAGCAGCGCTCAGCGGCTGTCGCGGGGGCGGCGCAGCTGCCCCATCATGTCGGCCAGCATGCGGTTGCACAGCGCGGCGTAGGGGTTGAGCAGCACCAGCTGGCGCCGCGCGAAGGGGCTGCCCAGCCGTGCCGCCCTCTCGAAATCCCTGCGGGCGTCGTCGTCTCGGCCTTGCAGCCGCGCCAGGAGTCCGCGCTGCACAAAGCTCTGGCGGGCGGCGCGGCCCCGGCCGCCGCTCAGCTCCACCGCGCGTTCCAGGTCCTCCAGGGCTCCTGCGGGACCGACGAGACGGGCGGGGCGGGGGTCAGCGGCCGCCGGGGCGGCCTTGCCGGAGCCCCAGCCCGCCTGCTGCCGCGCAGATCACCGTGGTCCTCGCGGCTCCCGGGCGTGGCCATTTACAACCCGCCTCGCACCTGCTAGAGGTAGGGATCGTTATCCCCATTACACAGACGAAGCCTGTGGAAGAGTTGAGAGGACTGGCCCAGGGCTGTACAGCCAAGCCACTTAGTGGCAGAGCTGGGACTGAAGTCCAGGTCTCGCCTTGTTCCTATTATTTTCCACCGCTAATATATGAAAACATGAACGTTGCGGGATTCTGAATGGTCACTATGTTTATGAGTCTGGCCCACTGCCCGGGCAAGTAGCAGCCAATTTATTCCACACCTGTTATTAAGCATCCACTATGGGCCAGGTGACTGACTCTGAATGTCAGGGTTCAAAAAAATAGTATTAACTGCACAGTCATTTCTTACAAGTACAATCAAGACAGTTTCTCATTGTTTTCCTTTTGAGGGCCCTTTTCTCTTTTCCATTGCTTGCTTTAGAACACATTCTCTCTCCCCTATATCCTGGACTGGTTGCCTTTCGTTATTCTTTGGTTATCTCCATGTATCTAATTTCCTTGGTCCTGGAGCCAGAGCTGGCCTGCATCGTTTTTATTTTTATTATTCTTGTAAAATACTTGGGTTGGGCCTCAGAACTCTGAACTCAGAACCTCAGGCAGCCAGCCACCTTCTTAAGTCCATCAGGCTGGCTTCTTTCGGACTCTGCTTCAATTCACTCATGTTCTCTAGTCTCCTAAAGAGCCCGAGCCTCCGGAGAAGCGCTCAGATTGCAGTACTCCTTGGTTTCCCTCAGAGGAGCTGGTCTGGAGGAATCTCTAGTTGGAAGCACCTCTGCATCTCCCTGGGGTTTTCGTCTGCAGGCTGTCTCCAGCGATCTGGGGCAGATAACCCTGGAAAGGGGCTCTTGGGAGGTTCCCATTGTTCTTGGAGTGGGCTCAAAACTCCCTAGCCTGGCATTGCTGGTTCTGGGAGCACCTGCGTCACCACTGCTCCTAACAGTCAAGTAGTACTAGGTTTCCGTGGTTTATACCTTCACATTAGCCTCATCTTTGGTCCCCAGTGTGGTCCCGTTGTCTCCACTTAATTAGAATAACCTGAATGCAGCAGGAGTTTGATCCAGTCACTCTCCTGTTAAAATCCTTGAGTGATCCCCCATGTTTTCAAGACAGTGCAGTCTCAGCCTAATACTCCCAAGCTGTTCATCAGGCCCTTGCCCACGGCTCCAGGCTCAGGTCTCCATCCCTCCTCCACTCCCTGCTCCACCCAGCCTGAAGACCTGAAGCTCTCTGTACTTGTGCCTGCTTTTTGGACCTCTACAGACTACCTTCTCCACTCACCAACTAACTCCTACTCATCCTTTAAAACTCGCCCTTCAGGAACAGGTCCCACGCTGACCCTTCTCAAACTTGTTTTGCTGGTCTCAGAATTATGTGTCTGTTCTGCCCCCTGGAGTGGGAGCGTTCTCAGGAGCAGTATCATGTGGCGATTAAGAGCACACACTCTGGAGCCCTACCACCTGGTTCACATCTCAGCTCTGCTGCTACCTGACTGTATGATAGTGGGCAAGTTACTTAGCCTCTCCATGCTTCAGTTTCTTCATCAATAAACTGGGGATGACAATGGTACCTACTTTTTAGGGTTGTTGTGAGGATTGATTTACTAGTTTATATGTAAAGTGATTAATGCCTGGTACATAGTGACTGCTATATGAATGTTGGCGATTCATATACCCTTTATCTCAGTGTCCTCAGCACCAGCCTACTGCCACATTGTAGGCTCTCATTAACTGTTCCTTAATGGAATGCAGTCTCTTCTGAATTTCACATTAGCCCCATGATATTAGCAGGGCCCCAATACATCTCCTACCTTATAGGTAAGAAGACAGGCTCCAGAGGGGTTTAGCAAGGCCACCCCAGCCCCACAGCCACTTCATTTCTAGTCTGTGCCCTCCCGTGGGCCCTTTTGCAGAGGATACAGGGCATCTCCCCTTACCTGCCACATCTCCCTGGAGTCGCCGGGCCTGGGCACGGTTGTTGTAGGCTGAAGCCCTCTCAGGCAGCAGGCAGATGGCTTGGCCAAACCTCTCCAGGGCTGTGCTGAGGTCCCCAGCCTCTGCTGCCATCACCCCCTGCAGCTCCAGGGCCTTGGACTGTTCCAGCTGTGCTTGAGGGAAAACTTCATCTGGGCCAGGGAAGGAGCCAGGAGGGGCCAGGTGTGCAGTTGGTAGCAAGAAGAAAAAGCCACCTCAGGCTTTGGAATTCTGAGATCTGAGACAGAGCTGACTGGGAATGGGTCACAGCAGGGGTCAGCTGCAGTGTTTGGGGTAGGGGGAGATGAGGTCACTAAGGCTGGGAGCTAGCATTGCCTGAGTTCCAAGGGACCTGGAAAGGGGCTTTGGTTGGTTCCCCATTGCCAAGAGAATGAAGCCCAAACTCCTCAATCTGTTAAAGCACTTGCTCCAGGTCACACAGGCCATACATTGCAGAGCTTGGATTTGAACCCAGGTCATTCTGGCTCCTGTCTGCATTTTACTCTACTACACTGCCTCTTATGCAAAGGCCACCATGACATTCCCAGATCATGAACATCACTTCTTATGTATCCCTTAGCATTTCGGCCTGAGTTAGTAAGGTGTAGGCTTTAATCCTCAGAAACAAAGGATATCAAAAACTTCTTCATTAGGGACTAATGGAAAAGCCAGTGAACACACTCACTGCAGAAGAGTTAGCTTGGAGCTTGGCTTGTGACAGTTTTTAACGGATACTAGTTGTGCTTGCTATATTGGAACCACTCAACTGAGCAACCATGCCCTGCCTTACTTCAGTCTTCCGTTCTGGTGGTGGTATTCTCTGTTATGACAAAAATATGAGAATTTAACATCACCTGGCAGTTAAGTTTGGATCATACAATCAATTAAGTGTAAGTTCAGAGGCCTGAGAGCTGATGGATTGAGAGACAAACCCCGGCTTACTCCTCTTGGCAGGACGTCTCTTACCAAACCCCCATCAGTGCACTAAGGAGCAGCCAACCTCTCTGATTCCAACCTCAATCATAATCATGGAACAAGGGGCCTTATAAGACCACTACCTCTGCCACCTCCGGAGGCCAGCAGGCCAGCCTGTGTGCAAAGCTACACTTCAGATCAAATGCCCACCTTCTTTTCGTTCTTCCTTTTCTGCTTCCTCTCCGAGGTCCAGTCCAACAATATCTCCAAATGGGGTGTCAGGGTTGAAGATGGCCTGCAGCACTGCCCGATCATTTGGAGTCCCCATGGTGCCCAACTCCAAAATCCCAAAAGGTGACTCCGGATGAGAGAAGAGGGAGGGACGTGGTGAGGGTGGAGCCTCCAGCAGGAAGTTGATCTGAAAGGATGAGGACCACCCCTTCATGAGGAGTGTCTCCCTGTCCTTGGCCCTTAGCATTTGCTCAACCTGTGGCCTGGAGGGTTGGCCCTGGCTTGGCAGACTATTTGGTTACTTCTCAACTGCCTCTGCCCCCAGGAGAAACAGTAAACAAATCCAGCTTCAGCCTTAAGGTGGAGTGCAGCTAAGAGAAGGTGCTCTCCAGCTTCTCCCTGAAATGCTTTGTTTATTATATTCACAGTTGAGGAGAAAATAGATAAAAATCACTACTTGACCTCTTTGGATAAAACAGGGGAGCTATGTAGAAGGTAAAGACCCTGTTCCTTTGTCCTCTTGACCCTGCCTCATATCCACAATTAATTAGGTCCTGAACGTACATCACTGATGAATAAAGGAAGAAAATACAGTCAAGAGAGCCAGTGTGGAGCGGACCTGAAGGTGGGCGACAGGGAATGATTTAGTGATGCCACCTTAAGACTGTGGAAGGTACTTTGTGACCAGGTCACAGGCCATGCCCCTCCCCCTTTTCTCCACCCTCTCCAACCAAAGCCAAAAGGAAGCTTAACCATGTGCAGCAATAAACTTGACATGTTTATTAATTAAACTATCACTTAAATAAAAAAAAGTGCATAGAAAATAAACATGTTTAAAAACTCCTTTTTTTTACAACTATGTACACTTTTTACTTTTACATTCAGTCTTTCGTAGAGAGCTTTCAGCATTATTATTTTTTGAACTATTAAAGTATTTTCCTTCATCCCTGTCACAGGGAGTTAACACTGATGGACTTTAGACACATTTTCCTTTTTTTTTTTTTTTTTTTCTCTTTTTCTCTAACCAGAAGCTTGGAAGAACACAAGGAAAAAAAAAAAAACAGATCTGTTATACATGATAAAGTTGTCAAAAAATGTCTTATTTCTAGAAAAGAAGCTTGTCATCTGTTGAGCTCTTGAAACAATTATTCAACTACCTGTATTTACTAAAGAGACTGTTAAAAGTTCAATAAAAGAAACACCACAATTCTATTTTCTTGGTTGAAAGACAGAACTAGAGTACCTCGGAACAAGATACCAGGAAAGCACAGAACACAATTTTCCCCTAAATGCAGGTGGTAACCCCAACATTCATAACCAAAAATAGAGAAACAAGGAGGACAGGTACTGACTGGCAACATTCATGGGCAGAAAAAAATCCAGGTGACACCATGTCTGCATTTTTCTCTGATTCGAGGAATGGCCTATTCTACCATTCCTTTATGGTTAGAGGTTCCCCCCGTTGCGGGAATCAGAGGAAAGTGAGCCTGACATCTTCCTGCCGCTACTAGCAACTGTAACACAATCCTTATCTATAGTGTTAAGAGAATTAAAAGCCATGGACTGAACTAGGCTTTGTTACATGGTGCATTACTATATTAGTTCCTATATATATCATATTTATATTTATTTGAAAACCAAAACAAACAAAAAGTTGCAAGTTTCCAGAGTGTGTGACTTGACCAGCATTCATGATTCGGCACAGAACCATCTGCTCAATAACCTTGTATTGCTTTAAAATGAAGGAAATGAAACATAAAATTACACCCAGCCCTTTGCAATGACCCGCTTTTCCTTAAAAACAAAAACAACTTGATTTCTATTTAAAAAAAAAAAATCCCAAACCAAACTTAAAAAGTTAACATCTGACAAGGTTTTGACCTTTAGTATTTTCAGATATTTGATTGAATGTCAGTCCTTTAGAAAGATACATTCATTAGAAGATTTTTTTTTTATTTTTGTGTGTGTGTTGTATTTTTTTTTTCCTTTTTTTTTTTTTTTTTTTTTTAAATCAAGGGAGCTACATGGTGCTCACTGCATTGGCCGGGGTTTGACAGAGGCGAGCAGGGTGGCGGGCTGGGTCCCGGCAAAGGAGTCTGGTTGAAAACGTATAGCTGCCAGGGCTTCCCCCTTAATTCTTCTTATTGGTCTAAAAACAGAGGGGCTGTGCGAGAGGTGGTGGGTGGCCAAGGAGGGAGCCAAGAGACCAAGTTCCGGCCAAAGGGTCAGCGCCATGCAGCTATTCTGGTTACACAGTTGTCACTGGCCACCAGGAAATGCAGCCACAACAGGTTCTAGCAGCAAAGCTATAAGTGAGCTGGCTCTCACTGAGAACTGACCAGGTTTGCAGCTGTTACTCCTTAGGGATTTGGGATGCCCCTTGGGGGATTCTTGGGAATGACCCACCACAGTTCCTCAATCTGCACTTTTGTGCAGAGATTCCCTTGGTCACTTTTGAAATGAACTCAGATGTGTTTTGGAGATAGCTATGCCATTTTTGCCGCCTTTCCCTCTTGCAGGGAAACCTTCGCTTATCCCCCAAGTTGCTGGCAGGTGTGCTGAAAATTTGGCAATGGACTCAAGGCTGAGCTAGAAGAAGAATTTCTCATTTTTGTGGTTGACAATTAGGGGGTGGAAAGGCAAGGCAAACCATCTGCAGCTGGCAGGAGAAGGAAGCTGTGGGTTCCTCCCCTGTCCTCAGGGTTTAGGGTTGGTAGAAAGAGAGTGAGGAGGGGGCTCACAGTACAGCATGGCCTAGCAGGGCAGTAACTAGGTCTATTTAGCTGAGTTCCCCCCACCCCCTGACTGGCCTTTGGGTCTTTCTCAAGGTGAATTCAGGACCCATCAGTGCATTAATCATTTCAGTAACAAATGCAGCTTAAGTTTTTTTTTTCTTTAAAAAAAATAGGAATACAAGGATTTACAAAAAAACCTCACACAGTGCAATAATAAAGGAAAGCAGACACTAGTGGAACCCCTAGGGCCACTGCATCTTGTTCATGGGCGAAAGGAGGAAGGGAGGTGAGGTCTGGGTAGAGTGCTTTCCCCAGTCCCCTGCTGGCACTTCTCCATGATGACAAGGAAGTCTCTGCCATCCTGGCCACAGTGCTGGGCTCCCTGCATGACAGTGAAAACAGTGACAATGTTCCAGCAAAGCCACCAGACAAAGTTCTTAAGGTCACGGGAGAGAAGGGAGCCCAGGATGGAAGGCACAGCAGAGCCATGAGTCCTGGGGCAGAGAGTGCTGGGCTGAGTCGTATTGCTTTGCTAGACTTCCATAGGAATGGGCTTCTTGCGGCGAGAAAAGGGTGCCCCACCCTCTACTTGGACTACACTACTCTGAAACCTTGTGGCAGAGGCAGAGAAAAATCTGCTTTATCGTGAGTGGTCAGACTGTGCTTCAGTTTCAACGGGCTGCCCCAAAAGAGGGCACAAGGTGATCAATGGGTTCTCTGCAGATACGAGGCCTTGGTGGGCAGAGGGAAAGGAAAGAGTGGCCTGTGAGGCAGATGGCGATGGAAAATGTCAAGTTGCCATTCAACTTGTTGTCTGCTAACTCTGAAGTAAGAAAGATGAGGGAAATGTAAAAGATTGCCATCTCTCACCACTCTGGAAGTTGCGCCGGAAAGGAGAGAGGCGGGAAAGAAGAGAAACTGTTGTATCAAGATATTACTGTAGCCTTTTGAGGAGCTTCAATAGGGGAAGGAGGGGAGTGGCCCAATGGAGTTGGGTGACCTTCCTTCTCCATTTATTGTCGAAGAGCAAACCCAGGAAACATTTATGTCAACAGGGCACAAACAAGCTACACATTAAACAACAAAAAGTACACCTTCCAGGGGGAAGTTGGGCAGGAAAAACCAGACTTTGTGTGTACAGCTGAATATTTTCTCTAACTTCATCCTATGAAAATAAAAAATTATTAAAAACCAATCTTCTTTTAAATTAGGATAATACCGCGGTTTAAAAAATAGCCTTGTCATAAGTGCTTCTCCCTATGAAGTGCTTCTCATAGAAAAATATACAAAATATATTTACATTTATAAAACCTTAAATAGTCAACTGTAAACAGAACAGAGTAAAATCCAATGACTTAATTTAACAGGTTCAGGACACTGTCTTGGGGAAAGGAAGAGAAGAAACATTTGATGCTGTTTTGACCACATCCTAAGGAGTAATCAGGGCAGTAGTGTCATTGAATTTACTTTAGCCATGGGTTGCACGCAGGTGGCAGAGTTCCCTCAATATAAGGTGGTCTAGTCCCCAAGTTGTGGGCCTTGAAATCTGATTAGTGTTCTGCCTTCAACTGGACACTGACCATTTAAAAATTAAGTCTTCCTATGTCTTAACAAGGGGAAAATAAAGTAACCATGTCTTAGGAATGGGCCCCAGGGGTCATCCTGGCTGTGATACTCTGGTTGTCGCATGATTTAAATCCTATTTAAATAATCTTTTTCATCTCCTAAAAAATCATGCTACTTATGTTTCTTTAAAACTCTCCATGGAGCTTTATGAAAACTTTTCCAAATTCTGTCTGGTTATGACCAATGGCTCCTGTCCACTTCCCCACCTGGAGTGCTTACAGGCTCAGGGAACTTTTTGCAGGCACATCCTATGCCCAGCAGGGAGTGTCCCTGAGCAGGCAGTCAGTCTCCCCTACAACCCAGAAAGAAGCATGGGAAAGCAGTGGGATGAAGACAGGGGAAAGGAAGAAAAGGAAGTGAAGAGAGGGAATGGGAGAGGGAAGCCGCTCCTACTGTCAAGAAAGGTAATTGGCTGAGATAAGGCTCCTGGGGACAACACTCCCACTCAAAGCCTACAGGCTCAATGTTTGGTAATTAATTGGCACAACTCCATGACAGCCTTTTGACACCAGAGGTGCTAAGAATCCTGTCTCCCAACCAGGAATGAACTCTCGAGTGGGAGGATAGTAGGGAAAACCACCAGACCTCTGTTTGTTCCACAGACGCCGTAGGTGGGGCCTGGCTGGCAAACTGTCAGGAATCCAACCAACCCTCCATTTGGGGCCTTGCCTGACCCACTCGCTTACAGTGCTTGGGAAAGGGCCAACTTGAGGATGGCAACTTATTTCTGTGAGATATTCAGGCCCAATCTCCCAACATAACCGACCCTCTATAACAGGCTCCTTCCAGGCAAGTCTGCTAGGGACCCCATTCCCACTTTCTAACGGTAAACAATTGGAGGGACCCCAGGAGAAAGCTGATCATAGATCTTTCTTCAAGACCTCAACTCTCTCTCCGGGACTGTGATCACATGTGAGTATAGGACATAAGAGAGCTCAGCCATCACAGAGGCCCCTCAGCTGTGCCCACTCAATCCAGGAGCTCCCAGCTGCTGGAAAAGGCCTTCAGCGTTGCTTTGGATGGCCCCACGTCCTTGCACTCCAACACTGGGGGAGAAGAGCAGCTTCAGTTTAGGAACTTCCGGCATTTCTTGGCGCCACAGTTGCAGGGCAGCTTGTTGCTGGCATCCTCAATGGGGAACTTATAGTCATAAGTGAGTTCCTCTCCTCGGTAGATCTTACGCATGGCAAAGATGACGATGTGCTTCTGCCCATCAATATTGATGACCCGAGAATAGCAGTTGGGCTCACATGAGTGATTGATGAAGCGTGCAGCATTTCCATGCATGGTGGCATCCACTACCTCTGAGTCATCAATTCGGAACATATAGCAACCAATGCCCTGTACATGCAGGAGAAAGGAGAATAACTTGTCATTTCTTATAAACTCAGGTTTAAGAACAGTTCCCAATCTTCTCTTGATATTACCTACAGCTGCTGATAAAGTTTCTTCTAGTAAAATTCCCAGATTTCTCCCAGTACCTATCTTTCAAGATGCTTCCGTGAGGAGTTCCTAGATTACAGGCCACTAGTCTAGAGGCTTCTAATGTCTCTGCGGGAAACAGAAACCTAAAACTTGAATAGCTATTTGCTTCTGATACCAGGAGCCACTCAGACAGACCTCTAAGAGTAACTTTCTATGCTAATCCTCAGAGTGGATTCTGTATTTTTACTGGGCCCCTCACGAATTTCAGTTGTTTTTTTTTTTTTTTAAATTAACATCTTCGAATTGGTAACATACACTATTTCTTTTGGGATCCAGGGATCATACTGGTCCCTTTCTACAGCAAAACAAAAGAACTGGGTGAGTGCAAGTGGGAGACTTACCTTGCTGTCGTAATACTTTTCCCGCTTGTCAGTCTGGATGGAGCGGATGACGTTGCCGGCATACTCAATTACCATCTCACCTGCATCAATGTTTCTCTTACAGAAAAGACCCCGGCCATGGATGGGAGACCTAGGACAAAGATTGAAAAGAGGTCAGACACAAATTTTGCAAGTAAGGTTAAGTGCATGAATACATGAATAAGTTCTCCTGGTCTGTTACTTCCTCAGGAGGGACATATACTTGAGAAAATAAAAATTTGGACCCTTGATTTGTGTATATTGTTCTAACAAATGGCCAAAGATAAAAGGTATTTCCATTCTGCAACCCACTGGAAGCAGCAATGTTTTAATGCTTATTATGTTAAAGTCCTTGTTCAACACAAGCAGGTGCAGGATCCCAGGATACAAGGGTCAATAAACAGTATCCGTAAAATCCTCACTTACTGAGGAAGGTCACTTCAGCATTTGGTCTACTTTGATTTTGAAAAACTGCATTCGTTTTCTATAGTTCTTTCTAGAATTTTAGCCATACCTGTAGACACCAACTGCCTCCTTAGAAGTCTTTTTTAAGTGCCGGAAACGCATGGGCATTGGCAGATCCATGCTAGTTGCCCTCCTAAGAGATAAGACATACTATTAACGAATTTTCTTCAGGAAATAATGTTTTGAGTCTTGAACTGAAGGTTCCTAGAGAAAATTAGTACACTTTCTGTTCAATGCCAAACTGAATAAGTGCCTTATAAAATGAACCCCATTTTTTTTTGAGATGGGAGTTTCGCTCTGTCACCGAGACTGGAGTCCAGTGGCGCGACCTCAGCTCACTGTAACCTCTGCCTCCTGGGTTCAAGCGATTCTCTTGCCTCAGCCTGCTGAGTAGCTGGGACTACAGGCGCACGCCACCATGCCGGGCTAATTTTTGTATTTTCAGTAGAGACGGGGTTTCACTATGTTGGTCAGGCTGGTCTTGAACTCCTAACCTTGTGATCTGTCCGCCTCAGCCTTCCAAAGTGCTGGAATTACAGGCATGAGCCACCACGCCTGGCCAATGGGCCCCATTTTTAGTATATATAGTACTTTCTGACCATGACGACTATGGTGGTACAACCAAAGCTGACAGAGTATACTGTCATTAAAGAAAATATGCATCTTACAGTTCTTTGAATTTCTCCTCTGTACCTTATATTCCTCACTCCTTACCAGGCACCTACTGCTACTTCAACACAAATGGATTTCAGTCTTCTTAAATCTTATCCAGGAAATTCTGATGCAAACACATTCCTACATAGTGCCCTGACCAGCTGGAGGAGAGGGAAAGCAGTTTCTAATGACTGCACCCCACTCAAGACTTACCGAGCTGACTTCAGCTGTACCTCCTCCTCTTCTTCATCATTGGGGTTGTATTCAGGAGGCTGACGATGTTTAGAAGCCAGGAAGTTAAACATGTCAAATGCTGACTTCCTGGGGCCAAAAGATGAAAAAGTATTTACAGAAATGCTTTAATAAAGCAGTAAAGGACGATGGCATTAACACTGGAAATCTCAAAGGGTATGTGGGAAGACGACTGTGTCACGAGATAAGAAAATCGAGATCCAAAACTGCTGACAGAAAAGAAGGGAACTTGCCTGAGGTGGACTTCAGCCCGGGCTGAGCCATGAGGGTTCAAGGGGGGTTCATTGGCCTCCTCTGGCTTGTGGAAACGGAATTTGTAATTTCGACAGTGCTTGGCACCAGACAGCTGCTCAATGAGGAACACAACTGCATCATGGAGAATCCCCAGCATCCTCAAACCATTAACACCTAGAAGAATCAGAAGCACTAGGGCAGTGAGGAGTGCAGTCAACAGGAAACAGCACAGTCCTACAGAAATGCCTATGCTACAGTCGCTCTGCCAGAGGTTACTCCAGGGTGAATTATAGTACATATTACCTCGAAATTAGCATCAGATAGCCATTAAAATGATGCTGATACAGATCTATTAATATGGAAAATGTTCGTGATAGACGGTTAAGTGAAAAAAGCATGTCACCAAACTACGGACTATTTTGTATGTGCTGTATTACACAGAAATGCTATATGCTAATGCTATATAAACGTGTTATTTCATTTAATGCTCATAATGACCACACAAGGCAGGAATTACTAGCTTCATTTTCAGGTGAGCAAACAGGCTAAAGGAATTGATGTAACGCTGGGTGCGGAGGCTCATGCCTGTAATCCCAGCACTTGGGGAGTCCGAGGCGGGCAGATCACGAGGTCAGCAGATCGAGACCATCCCCATCCTGGCTAACATGGTGAAACCCCGTCTCTACTAAAAATACAAAAAATTAGCTGGGCGTACTGGTGGACGCCTGTAGTCCCAGCTACTCGGGAGGCTGAGGCAGGAGAATGGCATGAATCCGGGAGGCGGAGCTTGCAGTGAGCTGAGATCACACCACTGCGCTCCAGCCTGGGCGACAGAGCAAGACTCCATCTCAAAAAAAAAAAAAGAAAAAAAAAAAAGAATTGATGTAACACTCCCAAGGCCACATGATTTGACAAGATATGAACTCTGGACTGCATAACTATAAATATAATCCATCTAGAAATGGATTACCTAGGTTCTATAAGCTCATATTCCCCCAGATACCTCACTAAAGTTTAATTTTCTTTCTTTTTTTTTTTTTGAGACAGACTCTAACTCTGTCACCCAGGCTGGAGTGCAGTGGTCCGATCTTGGCTCAGTACAACCTCCAACTCCTGAGTTCAAGCAATTCTCCTGCCTCAGACTCCCAAGTAGCTTTGACTACAGGGGCATGCCACCTTGCCCAGCTAATTTTTTTGTATTTTTAGTAGAGACAGGGTTTCACCATATTGGTTGGCCAGGCTGGTCTTAAACTCCTGACCTCAGGTGATCCACCTGCCTCGGCTTCCCAAAGTGCTGGGATTACAGGTGTAAGCCACAGCACCCAGCCAGCCTCACTAAAGTTTAAAAGCAATGTTAATACACCCCTAACACAGAACTCTCTTGTGTTGTTATGATGAATGTGTGGAGTAATACACTCAGTAGCTGCTTTGTTCTACTCACTGTCTCATGCTGTTAATGAGCATTTTAAATTTATTTTTATTTTATTTTATTATTTTTTTTTTTTTTGAGACGGAGTCTCGCTCTGCCGCCCAGGCTGGAGTGCAGTGGCCGGATCTCAGCTCACTGCAGGCTCCGCCTCCCGGGTTCACGCAATTCTCCTGCCTCAGCCTCCCCAGTAGCTGGGACTACAGGCGCCCGCCACCTCGCCCGGCTAGTTTTTTGTATTTTTTAGTAGAGACGGGGTTTCACCGTGTCAGCCAGGATGGTCTCGATCTCCTGACCTCGTGATCCGCCCGCCTCGGCCTCCCAAAGTGCTGGGATTACAGGCTTGAGCCACCGCGCCCGGCCTATTTTTATTTTATGAAAACAACATTTATATAAGTTTGCTGGCATCAATGGTGAAAGGCTTTCATTTTAAAATTATTTGGCTTTTTCCATTAAAGGGAGAGGGCACAGTTACAACTGCCACCCTTCTTTTTGACACTAGCAAATAGCTAATGTTCTTTATATTTTTATTAAGTAAACAATATTATTTCATTTATAAATATTGCTTTTGGTATTATTAATAGATATAGAAACAGTAATGCTGTCTGTTGTGGATCAGGTATCCATTTCATAAGTGTAACTGTATTAGGACTGCAACTGCACATATGCAATTCCAGCAGACATACGGTTTGTGTTATGAAGCATATTTAGAGATGTAACCTTGGTATAATGTCCTGGCGCAGAGGAAACAGGAGATGAAAAAGCAGATGATCATGCCACTGCACTCCAGCTTGGGCAACAGAGTGAGACCTCATCTCAAAAACAAACAAAAAGAATGTTGTCTCTAGATAAGCAATATTCTTTTTCTAAGAGACAGGTTTCACTTTGTTGCCCAGGTTGGAGTGCAGTGGCATGATTGTAGGTCACTGTAACTTTGAATTTCTGAGCTCAAGCCGCTCCCACCTCAGCCTCCTGGGTAGCTGAGACTACAGGCATATGCCACTGTGTTTGGCTAATTTTTAAATTTCTTGTGGAGACAGGGTCCTACTGTGTTGCCCAGACTGATCTTGAACTCCTGGCCTCAAGTGATCCTCCTGCCTTGGCCTCCCAACTTGCTAGATTACAGGTATGAGCCACTGCACTAGCCCCAGATAAGTGACATTCTTATGATCACAACTGTTGGTCCCCTAAGACTTTGGCTTAAGTATATAACACAACTCTACAAGATAAGAACTTCAGCCATATAAGGCAATGGCAAACTCTTTTTTCTTTTTTTTCTTGAGATGGAGTCTCACTCTGTGGCCCAGGCTGGAGTGCAGTGGCACGATCTTGGCTCACTGCAAGCTCCACCTCCTGGGTTCACGCCATTCTCCTGCCTCAGCCTCCTGGGTAGCTGGGACTATAGGTGCCCGCCACCACGCTCAGCTAATTTTTTTGTATTTTTTAGTAGAGATGGGGTTTCACCATGTTAGCCAGGATGGTCTCGATATCCTGACCTCGTGATTCGCCCGCCTCGGCCTCCCAGAGTGCTGGGATTACAGGCGTGAGCCACCGCGCCCAGCTATATTTTTATTTTTTGTAGAGATGTAGTCTCTCTATGTTGCCCAGGCTGGTATTGAACTCCTGGCCTCAAACAATCCTCCTGCATGGGCCACCCAAAGTGTTGGGATTACAGGTGTGAGCCACAGCATCCAGCTGATTAAAATCTTTAGTGTTTGCTCAAAACAAGTGTATTAATAAGTTTGTATGCTACCTAATTTAATATGAAGTCTAATACCAATGGTAAATGATTTCAACTTTAAGAAAAGATAACATTTCACACTACCATGTCTTAAAAACAAAAACAAAAACAGGTAAGTGTTGGCAAAGGTGGAGAAATGGGAACACCTGTACATTGCAGGTGGGAATGTAAAATGGTGTAGCCACTTTGGAAGAAAAACAACAACCTGGCAGTACTTCAAAAAGTTACAGAGTTACCCTATGACCCAGCAATTCCACTCTGAGGTATGTACCGAAGAAAAATAAAAACATGTCTACACAATAACTTGAACATGAATATTTGTGGCAACATTATTTGCAGCAGAAAGTAGAAAACACCCAAATGTCCATTGACTAATAAATGGATAAGCAACATATGGTATATCTACACAATGGAATCTTTGGCAATAAAAAGGAATGAAGTACTGATGTGGAAGGCAAGATGTAACAGAAGGGAAGAACCTGGAAAGTATTGTGTTGAGTGAAAGAAGACAGTCACAAAAGGCTACATATTGTCTGATTTCATTTATATGAAATGTCCAGAATAATCAAATCCATAGATACAGAAAGTAGATTTGTGGTTGCCAGGGGCTGAGGAATGACTCCTAATGAATAGGGGGTTTCTTTTAGGGATGATGAGAATGTTCTGGAATTATACAGTAGTGGTGGTCGTACAACTCTGAATATATTAAAAACCACTGAATTGTATGCTTTAGATGGGTGAACTGTATGGCATATGAATTAAATCTCAATAAAGCTGTGAAAAAAAATTCTTTTAACTGATTTTTTTTTCCCACAAAATCAACTCTGCCTTAGGCAAACAATTTAGCAGAATATTCTGAGACAGGAGTGGAATAACACCTCCAGTCATTACCTGCAAAAGAGAGCTGCTTTAGGCGGGCATTTGATCGAGCTTCCTGAACTTTATCTGTCAGTGACTTCCAGGCATCTGAAAGAAAATAAAGAAAACTGTAAGCCAGAAAATATGCACATAAACCCTTCTGAATACCAATGATGTGCACAAGCACTGTGCTTAGAATCCCTAGAGTGTGAACACTTGACCTCCTAGAACAGTGTTTTGTTATTTTGCTTAGAGTTTAAATCAGTTCATTACATGTGAAAGGAGTTGGAAAGGTGCACTCCTCAGCAGGGCTTCTTTCTGTTGGAGGACACAGAAGCACTAAGGAAAGTCAGACCTTCCAAAATCACATCTGAATCCCCAACGCATTCACAACCCTTGATGGAAGTATGGGTCTCACATCTGAATGTTTGGTACTATTATGTTCCCTGTACCCCTAATCAAAACAGCACTAGTAATGATTTAGGTCAGGCTCGGTGGCTCACACCTGTAATCCCAGTACTTTGGGAGGCCGAGGTGGGCGGATCACGAGGTCAGGAGATGGAGACCATCTTGGCTAACACGGGGAAACCCATCTCTACTAAAAATACAGAGAGGCCGGGCGCGGTGGCTCAAGCCTGTAATCCCAGCACTTCGGGAGGCCGAGACGGGTGGATCACGAGGTCAGGAGATCGAGACCATCCTGGCTAACACGGTGAAACCCCATCTTTACTAAAAAATACAAAAAACTAGCCGGGCGAGGTGGCGGGCGCCTGTAGTCCCAGCTACTCGGGAGGCTGAGGCAGGAGAATGGCGTGAATCCGGGAGGCGGAGCTTGCAGTGAGCTGAGATCACACCACTGCGCTCCAGCCTGGGCGACAGAGCAAGACTCCATCTCAAAAAAAAAAAAAGAAAAAAAAAAAAGAATTGATGTAACACTCCCAAGGCCACATGATTTGACAAGATATGAACTCTGGACTGCATAACTATAAATATAATCCATCTAGAAATGGATTACCTAGGTTCTATAAGCTCATATTCCCCCAGATACCTCACTAAAGTTTAATTTTCTTTCTTTTTTTTTTTTTGAGACAGACTCTAACTCTGTCACCCAGGCTGGAGTGCAGTGGTCCGATCTTGGCTCAGTACAACCTCCAACTCCTGAGTTCAAGCAATTCTCCTGCCTCAGACTCCCAAGTAGCTTTGACTACAGGGGCATGCCACCTTGCCCAGCTAATTTTTTTGTATTTTTAGTAGAGACAGGGTTTCACCATATTGGTTGGCCAGGCTGGTCTTAAACTCCTGACCTCAGGTGATCCACC